AAACTAGGGATCATTCGTTTTAAATAATATGCATTACTCTGTTATGTGGAAATGTCATGTGATTTTTAATCCATTCTCCTACTGATAAACATTTAGGTTGTTTCCACAGAAATTTTTTATGTATCACACTGTTTGCTGTACTATCTAGGGTGCATATGAATAAAGCTCTGCCTCAGAATCCACCACATGGTGTTGTCCCTAAGAGAAGCAGCTCAATCACAAATCAACCCTTGCATTTGTAGAGTTGTTTGTTATGCCTTATAATTGGACGGAGAGAACCAGATGCTTACCGTAAGTATCACATGCTTGACAAGTGAAGACATGGTTTGAAGGGACCAGTACTTTCCAGATAATGAATACTGACTCCTTTTTACCCTGATGCACCAAAATACATTACTGTAGACTCTGAATTTTGGATTTAGCTTCATAAATAATGATTTCAATGGAGTTCAGTAATTGGTTTCTGAATTGTTAATACGATTTTACCATTGGATGAGCATAAATAGATAAAAGCCCTGGCTCATTTTTCTTTTTCAGGGCTTAAAAAATGATACAAATTTCAGATGTTGAAAAACATTGGATTTCATAGCATAAAACCAACCATCGCATAATTGATGTGAGGCTCATACTTTAAATCACTGCTAATTTTCCCCACTTAAGGTTTCCAAGTATGTGTGGCATATTGAAATATTAATCAAATGTCTCCCACCTGAATGTTGGTTTTAAATTGTCCCTGAAAGAGACTGCCTGTTCTGACTGGCAGTCCCACTCAATGGTACTGAGTTTCAACTGCTCTGTAGGTCAAACACTCTTCATAATCCATATTGGTCTCCCGGCCGCCATGTCTTCTTCATTCGAGTTGGATGATGTATCAGTCAGCTTAAACCAAGTCATTGTATGGCAATAACCCCTAAATCTAAAGGACTTACAATAAGGCTTATTTCTCTTTATGTTATTTGTCAATCACAGTCATTGTCAGCTTTGTTCCGCAATTCTGGGACCCAGGTAAAGAAGCATCCCCTCTCTGGAACATGCCATTCAAGAGGAAAAGAGAGACAACAGAACCAAGCAATGGCTTTTAAAGTTTCTACTCAGCAGTGGCATATCACTTCCTCTCACATTTCATTGAACAAATCAAGGCCAAGCCTGCCATCCAACAAGGTGAGGAGATAAAATCCTCCCAGTGGGAGGGACAAAAATATTTGGGAACAGTAATATAATCTACCACAGAAGTTGTTTTCATTCTCAAGCAGGTATCCTTTTAACTAACTTTTTGACTATTTACAAAATCAATTGGTTTTTTTGTTGTTGTTGTTTACATTTTGCTAATCTATAAGACTTTCTTATCTCTAGGATGGGGCTTAGTATGATATAATTTTTTCCATGAATCCACAGAAAGATAAGAATTAAAATCATTTTGAAAAATTAATAAATATTTCATGGCCCCAAAATATAATTGCAGTCTAAGTATAAACAATATTAACCTACAAACTCAACTAATTGAAATCTCTACCATAGCACTCTGAATGAAGGATAATTGATTTCCACTCTATCCCCATTCCAGCCATCAGTTCTCAATAAGAACTTGATACAGTTAATATTTTAAGCCAGACCACTCAAATATACTGCTCAAATTTGAAGAAAATCACTTGTCATTTTTCTGTGATGTCACAATGAACAGAAGTTTAATTTCATTTACATAGATAGCAAATGATACATCTTTAGACTTAAGTGCTATATGTTAGGGTATTTGTATATGACATGCACATCCAAGTCCTGCTTTTTTTTTTCCTGGTTATTCTTCCTTCTTTAGTATTTTTTTTTTTTTTTTAGTTATTTGTAAATAGCTGTTACCTTGGGCACGGAGCCCAGCTTTCCTTAATCTGACTGTCTTTGCAGCAGTCCCTTTCTATTTTAAGATACTTTGGAAATTATTGGTTTGTTTTCTAAAAATGAAGTAAGTAAATGATCTCATTTTGGGGCACTATTTTCTCCCTAAATGATATCTTATGATTAGATGGTATAAAACAATCTCATTTGGCTTTTCAATAATGGATGTGAAAATTGATCACATTGTAAATCAAAATTTATTCACCCAAGGGATGATAATACTAATAGCTAACACAGAGTGCTACTGTCATTGTTCTAGGTGCTTTACATGTATTGTTCATTTTTTCCCCTCACAAAAACTTGATGAGATAAATGCCAATATTATTCCCATTTTATAGATGAGGGATTTACCAAACTTGTTTTAAAACAGATCTGCACTCAGTGTTGGAAAAATGTCATGTTTGGTAGGGCTTATCAGCAAGGCTAGGAAGTTGGCCAGTTAAAGCAGGAAACCAACAGAAGAATGGGAAGTAGTAGGAGAAGCTTGTTTAGAGGTTTTCTGAACCTTACTCTATTCTCCAAGTAGATAAATTCCAAACAAAAAAGGCTCAGGCAATTTTTTTAAGCCATTAGTCAAAGGAGAATTATTTTCTGTTTAGCTCTAGGTCAACACATACTCTTTTAGTTTTTGTGAAGGGCACGATCCGGAATTTATATATAGGTTATACTATGATATTGAAATATTAGCCTTTCCTAAACTTCAAAAGAACACAGAAGCTCAGGAACACGGAAGCTCAAGAACCTTCTTCAAGCTGGAATAGAAACAAAGTGCACAAATCCCAATTTCTCCTTTTGATGGTTAATTACCTCACTATGGCTATGGGACCACAACTCATGGTAGAATAGCTGCACTTAGCTAGTAGCAAAGAGGAAGTCTAAGAGTAGCTCTGATAACCCCACCACATGTTAATTTGGAGAGCCTTTTTTTCTATTTGTAGAAATTTTGGTGGGCTATTGTATGCGTATAAAATGTTTTCATATATGTTTTATATGAGTTTGTTTTATATGATGATATGATTCAATTTAATATAATTTTAACTTCAACTCATGGTTCCAAAGTTATATAATAAAAACATCTCTAAGGATAAAAGAAGATTATACAAGATGAAGAAAAGAATCAAATGAAAGTATTGAGTCACATTTTAATTTTATTTATAATAGTTTCAATTTACTGTCTGTAAGGTTTTCATTAGTGTTCTTAAAGAAGGGGTTAAATTTCAGTGGACTCTTAGTTCTTCTAAATGTTTGGAATGTCTGTCCATTCTCACCAGCTCATCCTCGAAAACAAAAACTCTAGAAAACAATCTCCTAAGTTAGCTTTCAATACTTGTTAAGTATACTATAAGGCATTTAAACCTTTAAACATCAGAAAGAATTTTCATCAGAAAATTAGAGAAATTAAGAGAAAAACTGGGAGGAAAACAATAACTGAATTTGTCCGTATCTTGGTGTGGCTGAGAAAAAGGAGGCAGTTAAAACTGATAACTAGTTGTATCTAAGATTCTGGACAATATTAAGGTTTCCAAGTCATTGACAAGTCAGAGTTAGGCAAGGATAGTATTTGTTACCTTTCCTCTAAAATTTGATGTTCCTTTTCCTGTCTATATCATTAGTTTGACTCTTATCAATATTTTTGGACAAGTAACATTAAGTAGCAATAAAAGCCATCTAAGTAATTTGCAACTGTCTTAACTGCCTTTTTTCTTTTTCAAAGGTGATTGCCTGCTTTACATGATATAGCTTTTTCCATATTCTTTCAGTTAAATAGCAGATAGAAAAAAACTTAAAAACGGCAAGGCAGTGACATACCAAAGGTCACTTAACCTGTAGGTACAGCCAGATTTCCTAATTATTAATCTAATGCAATATTTTAAGGCTCATTAGAATACTAAATCTGATGATCAGTTAATTAATGACGCATCTGACATACACCCTTCTCATTTCATAAAAATCACCCCATTAACCTTTGTAGATCTATGTATTTAAACCTAATTGTTTCAGAAAACCGTCCAAAAACATTTTTGTCCTGGAGTGGAATGTATATGCAGGCTCAGGGAATAACTCAGTTTATTAGATTCTTGCCTCTTTTTCCACAGGTCCAAAGGATAAATGGGTAATACCGGGCTGAAATGATCTAGAGATTTGGTATTCCAAAGCTTCTATTTTAAAAATGCGAAGCAATTTTCAGAAAAGTATCTAAAATTTTGCCTTCATGCAAACTAGCATTATTGGAATCACTGTTGTTCAAAAATATTTTTGAAATATCGGTGTACATTTTTTAAAAAAAATAATTTTTAAAAAGGAAAGCTGTCGTATTCTGGATTCCCGCCCCCCCATTCGCTCTCCCTGCACCCCAACCCTTCAAATGGCTTAAGTCGCATAGCTGAAAGGATTTTACTCATTTTTTCCAAAACACTTCACATCTGGGTGGTAGCCAACTATGGAAAGTTTCAGGCAAAGGCTACATTTGGGAGAGAGCTGAAGCTCGTCCCGGCTGCCTTCGCGAGACCGTGGCACTTGGATGGGTTGCCCCGAGCCTTGACCGCATAACCGGGGGCCAGACGCGAGCTTGGACCAGCAGAGCTCCGACGGCCTGGCCAGACGCCAGCCTCGGCCAACCCAGCCGACCTCACAGCCCTCGGCTGCGGCGGCTCTCGCCCATTAATCTCTCCAACAGCTCGAGGCTCCAGAGTCCAGAAGAAGCTCAGCCACTTCACAAATGACGAGAACCCTGCGCCCCTAATACCCAACTTGGGTAGCCTCGGGGTTGGCGCGGCATGAGGAAACTGTCGGCTCGGGAGCCAGGCCTGGCTCACCAGTCTCACACGTCAGTTTGATTCCTCTCTCCGCCCCCCCCCGCCAGTCCCCCGCCCGACGCTTCGCGCATCCGCAGCCCGGAGAAATTTCATCGCTCCCATCACCAACTGCACGAGACGTCGAGCGTCTCAGCCAATCGGAGCGGGCAAAGGGGGCAGACCGTCGGCGTCGTCCCGCCCCCGGGTGGGTGAGCGCTGAATGTCTCCAGCCCTCCCCTGCGCTTCAGCCTCAGTGCGGAGCCCACGGCGGTGTGAGAAGGACTGGTCGTGGGTGGCCTCGGGAACTGCGGCAGTACCGGCTGCGGGAGCCGGAGCTAGAACCACACCCACGTCGCTGCCTTTTCCTCTTCTGTCATCTCACTGCACCGCCACAGATCGCGTTCCCTGAGGAAAGCGGCCGCCCACGCCTGGAGCATCCTCCCCTGTTGAGCGGGCGCTGACGGGCCCGGCGGCATGATGCGGCTGAGAGGCTCGGCGATGCTGCGGGACCTGCTCCTGCGGTCGCCCGCCGCCGTCAGCGCGGCTCTGAGGCGGGCACAACCCCTGGTCACCCTGTGCCGGCATCCCCGGGGCGGGGGCCGGCCGGCCGCGGGCCTGGCGGCGGCCGCGCGACTCCACCCGTGGTGGGGCGGAGGCGGCCGGCCGGCGGGGCCCCTCGCGCGGGGCCTGTCCAGCTCTCCCTCGGAGATCTTGCAGGAGCTGGGCAAGGGGGGCACGCAGCCGCAGCCTGGGGCGTCGCCACCCGCTGCCCCGCCGGCGCCCGGCCCCAAGGACAGTCCCGGGGAGACGGACGCGTTCGCCAACAGCGAGGGCAAAGAGCTGGTGGCCGCAGGCGAAAAGTGAGTGTCTCCGCGAGGCAGAGGAGGCCTCGTTCCGCTCGGGGTCTGGGGCCGGGGGTGTCTGTGGTGGGGTGGGATGGGATGGGAGCCGAGGTTCTAGAAAAGAAAGAAAGAGATGCCGGGCGGCCTGCGCCGTCTGCGCCATGTGATTAGGCCCGGCCCCGCCCGCGCCTTCCCCGCCCGCGCCCCTCCGCGAGGCCCCCACTTCCCTTCTCCGCCCCCGGCGCAGGTCGCCCGGGTGGGGCCGCTGGGGGGCCGGAGGGGCTCGTCTGGCCCGTTTTTGGCCTCGGCGGCTGCCCGGCCCGCGCCGCGTGCTCGGCTCCCCAGCTCGCGGCTGCAGAGCCTGGCCGCCCGCCGCAGCCCTTCGTGCGTGATGCCACAGCTACATCTCCACCGACTGACATTTAAGAGTCGGGCGTTGAGCACAGCCCATACCTTCCCGACTTGCCGCCTTTCCAGGCTCTAGTTTCCGCTCTGCCAGCCCTCCCTAGGTCTCTGCCATCATCCCATTGGAAGCCAGATGTGGCAGAGTAATCTTTGTATTTCTGGGTTGGCTCCTTCAGGCGTGTGTACAGCCATCTGGGGCACCGGAAATAATGCTTCAGAAGTGAGATTAGGAGGAATAGGGTCATGTGGCCGAGAAGATGGGGCACGCAGTGCAGACCACCTGTTTACACTGGGGTCCAGCTTTGGCCTGTCTGATGTATTCCATGAGATGGACAGATTTTTAAAAATAAAAGTCAAATAGCCAAGATAGGATGTGACATGAAATAGTAACTCTGAAAAAATCTTAAGTAGGCTTTAGGACTTAATTGTAATAGGATCGTAGCTCATCCTGTATGTGTATAGCACAGTTTATTCTCAAAGCAAAATTGGTTTTTCTTAATATGGGAAGCAGTTTCCTGAATATTTTTGTTTTGTGTAATATAAATGGACAAACTTTGTGTTCTCAGTACAGGTAAAAATTTACCTGGCTGCTTTCATTATACCCTGCTATTTTTCTGACTTTGTACACTGATGCTATGTGACCAGTTTTGCCTCCCTTTTACTTCCGTTATATTTCCAGCTCTAGAGTTTCTTAAGTCAAACTGAAAGTGTGATTCTTACAATTTCAATCTCAGGCCTGCTTGATGTTTCCTGTAATTGAAGTTGGGACCTTTCTAGAACTTTCCAAGTTAAAGTTGTTTTCCCAGACTGAAAAAGGTTGTTTTAAAAAAACCACTTGATGATGGGCAAAATTTGTGGTGTTCTATAAAGATCATTTTGTGCTACGAAGTAACCTCATGACCATGGGCAGGTCATTTAATATCTTGAGTTAGATGGCTGAAATCCCTTCAAATTCTAAAAAGCTAGTCTTGTTCAATTTGTACCTCTCTCTGGTGTTTTAGGGACTGGAATTGTGCTTACTCTCATCTGAAACTCACTTTTGCTTTAACGTTATCTCACGTTACTTTAACCCGGTCAGGTAACAAGGGTTTGAATACATGTGCCCTGAGTTAATAGAATTGCAAAATGTGATTACTACCATTTAAAAGTTATCCTTAAAGGCTACCGGGTGGGAACTGGTTTTTAGTAAAACTATGTCTTCAAGTCTGTGTCTCTTCCGTGGATCTAGTGCCCCTCTTTTTTTTCCTCTTCTGTCAAATCGGAAATTGAGCTGCGTTTGTGATTTACTTGTTGCCCAGAAATTTCCGGTTTCATTGCCTTCTTAATAAGAAATCATGCTTTAACAATGGCCTCAAGGTTGTAGAGAAAGCATTTTAATTTGGTTAAAGTTTCTGTTTTCTGAATGATCTGGTTTCCAAATGTAGCTTTCCTCCTTTGGTGCCTTCCATTTTACCTTTATGTGACAAACATTTCTCTTATCCTCAGAGATAAGCTTCCAGTTGATCCTGTTATCCTTCATAATGCTCAGCCTCCAAAGCACAGGCCATCCCTCAATCAGTAGTCCACCTGGGATGCCAGCACTCAGGACTCTGCCAGATTTTATAGAGTATTATTAAAGGAAATAGCCACGTGGAAACTAAATGAGTTAACATTTTGGAAAAGGCTTAGAATGATATTTAGCATATGTTATATGTTATGTAACTGTTTATTAAATAAATGAGAATAAAATTGCTTCTTCATTTGTCGTAAAGCCTGGTAAAGAAATTTGCCTTTGCATTTCAGGCTCGCACATGGAGGTTCTTTATTTTTTATTTTTAGTTTCCAGAAAAAAGTTTTTTGTAAGAAATTGTTGTATTATACTTCTCTCTTATATGAGACTATGTGATTTGCACTGTTTACCTTTTTGTCCTGCTGGTAAATAAGATCAAAGTAAATTTAATGCTTAACCACAGCAGTTACATTAATTCACATGGCTAGGATATTTGCTTTTCCTCCTTTTCTTGGTTCTGACTTTATATTTTATTTACCTTATTATTATGGGAGGAAGTGGGAAGTAAGCAAGTTATCTGCTTACCTTTTTTCCACAAATTCTTTGAACCAGTGTCACCCTGGACTATACTGTCTATATCACACAACCTCAGGGTGGTTTGGGGTAAGAAGCTGTGATTAAAGTCTTAATACCATATAGAAAAATCTAATGATCTTTGCTTAGTTTTTCGTGTCACAGCCTTATTTAATTTTATTCCCATTCATTCTGTCATTTTGAAAACCATCTTTGCTTGACTCTCTTCCTTTTTAAAATTGTGCTCTCTGCTCTCTTGGCTCTTTTTGGATTTCCTCACTGTGTAAACCTTGAGGCTGAGGCCTTTGCTCCTTTCCCACTTCTCTACCTTCTCTACAGCATATCCCATCTTCTTTCAGCTTTGATGCTCACATTTGTACCGGTAATACTTCATTTCTTAATCCAAGCTCTGTTCTCACATTTATCTCTACATATCTTGATGACTTCAGATTTAAAATTTGTACCCCCATATCCATTGTTTTCTCTCATTCAATCTGTTTTTCATACTACTGTGAGATTAATTTTAGAGTTAATTATTACTCTTCTTCCAGAAAACCAACATGGACTGGAATGAGCATTGTATCAAAGTCACAGACTATGTTACGGCATTCAAGAGTCTTGATTGACCTTTATGCCAACGTTTGCCCAACATGGACATTTTTATCGTGCTTATCTCTTCTCTATGTAGCATGTCATGCTTAATTTCTGTAGAGCCCAGAAGTATCTGTCCCTACTGAAGAGTCCCTAGAAAGAGTCGAACGGGTGGCTGTGAAAGGGGCATTTTTAAGTCTTTTATTTGGGCACTTAATTTTTTAATTAAAAAGGAAGAGAGGCCGGGCGCGGTGGCTCACGCCTGTAATCCTAGCACTCTGGGAGGCCGAGGTGGGCGGATTGTTTGAGCTCAGGAGTTCGAGACCAGCCTGAGCAAGAGCGAGACCCCGTCTCTACCAAAAATAGAAAGAAATTAATTGGACAGCTAAAAACATATAGAAAAAATTAGCCGGGCATGGTGGCGCATGCCTGTAGTCCCAGCTACTTGGGAGGCTGAGGCAGGAGGATTGCTTGAGCCCAGGAGTTTGAGGTTGCTGTGAGCTAGGCTGACGCCACTCTAGCCAGGGCAAAAAAGTGAGACTCTGTCTCAAAAAGGAAGAGAGTTATGTAATAGAGAAATTAGGCTGGATATCAGCATATGTATGCTTTTCAGAAAATAGATAGTTCATGTAGGATGCAATATTGAATATATTCCATTAAAACAACAATGAGATCATTTCTCCCCTATCACATTGGAAGATGTTAAATTAAGTGATCGATAAGGTATGGGAAATAGGAACTCTTGCATTACTGGTAGAGTATAAATTAGTTGAGCTATTTTTTAAACTTAAAAATTTTTTTTTTTAATATTCCTGCAAATCACCGGCATAGTTCACCTATTTTGGAAGGCAGTTTGGTAGTATCTGTTAAATACTGCATTCCCATGATGTAGTAATTGCATCTTTGCGCGTCTACATGAAGTTATGGCATTTAAAAATATATACTTTTAATTACATAAGTAAGCATAATTTAAAATATATTTAAAAATTAAAGTTTAAGTAAATGATTTCATCTAGCTTCAGATAGTATGGCTTTACGTTTTGGTAGTTCATAGTCTTAATAGATGGAAAGTGAAGGGCAAAGATAATCATTGCATTGTATACTATGAGAATTAATTTCAAAGTAAGATTAAATACTTATGCATTTCAGCAAATGTTGAATTGGGTCAATCAAACAGTACTGATAATGAAATTGAGTCAGTATTTCGTAGGTAGAGATAATATATTTTAGAATTTTGAACTTGTATTGAAATAGGTGGCAAATGCTTTTATGATCCTTAAGTATTGCATTTGCTTTGATTTTAAAAGTTAACATATTTACAATTGACTTAAACCAAAACCAAGATTAAAAGTATATTTAATTTTTTCTTTGGGTTTCTCAGTCAACCCCTCAGTTATTTTATTTGTCATTTCTTCAATATTAAAAATTTTTTCTAGGTCTTAGTTATCAGTAAGTTTTAGTTTTGATTTAATAGCAAGTGAAAAAGTTCCACTAACTATATGTCTAACATTTTTTGTGGCCTAATATTTATATTAAACCATGTGCATCCATTATCCATTGAGAAATTTGTCCATGATCTGTAATTAACAAACTGCAAGCTACTAATTTTATTATTTGGATGAAGTTTACTGAAAGAGCAAGAATTAGATTCTGAGGTTTAGTCTCCTTGAGTTTTAGCTTCTTGTTTCCAGACTTTACTGCTTTATGGAGAAGTCTACCTACCTCAAAATCAGCTAATTCAGGAAATGACTACCAAACAGAATTCTTCCTTTTTTATAAGGCAATATGTAGCCAAAAAAAAAAAAAAAGACAGTGGGGAGGAACACTGTTTTATTCTGTAAAAGGTAAATGTCACGTTGCAAAGAAATTTGCTGGAGATATTTGTGGTTTTCTTCAAGTTTTAAAAAATTGTTTGCAAGAAATCAGTACAAGGCTGTACTACTTCCTTCTGATGATATTT